AATTTTAAAAAAAACTCATTGTTATTTTGTTAGGAAATCTCATTGAATTCTGTATGTTAATTATGGAGAGAATTGACACCTTTCTAATATGAAATTTTTCTCCAGGAATAGAGTGTGTCAGAAAGATTTCTGAACTTATGAATAAAATCTAGATGTAATCTCATTTGGAATACTTGATTGCTTACTAATGTGTAGGTATTTTAGTTTAATGTAGCTATTAAAGAGATATTTATTATTGAAATCCATACAGGAAAAGTAATTTAGACATAGTCTGAAACATTGTAACTTTAAGTTTTTAAATATAGTTTTTGATGAATTAGCATGTTACATCAGAATGGACATATTGCTAAATTAGTATTGTTCTTTTTGCAGTGTGTTTGCTCCATATTTTTCTTTACTAGGGAGGGTTTGCTTGCAGCAGAGTTAAAAAAAAAATACAACAGTTTATTACTCTTTTTAATGGTTAAATATTTTTGAGAAACAGCCAGACAGACCTCTTGGTTTTTCCTTACCGTTTCTTCATGGGTGGTCTGGGATATCAGCTGGCGAGTCTCTCATAAAAACACCTGTGTCAGCACTCATGGGTCTAGTTTCAGGAAATTTTCTGACTAAGCTGTAGGTGTGGGACAATTGAAATTTCCACAGAAGTGCAGTGTAATGACCTGCCTAAATCCAAATAAACTCTTTCTCAGATTGACATTTGACAATTTTCTTAAGTACTACATTAAATCAGTAGTAATCGACTTGTGAATAAAAATCATCTGGGAAGCTAACAAGAAAAGGGTCTGAGGTTCTCACTAATTCAGTAAGTCTGTGGTGGAGCCCAAGAATCAGCATTTTAAATAAGCATCCCAAGTAATTCTGTGAAAGGTAGCCTATGGACCACATTTTAAGAAACACTGCATTAACCTTTGTCATAGTAGTCTATTTATGTGACCTAAGCTTGCAGTTCTTTTCATACATTCTTCTTCCTTTATTCCTTCCCTTGATACCCACTTTATTTATAATTTTACATAGATACCAGTAAAAGGAAAATTCTTTTACCTCTCATCCAAACCAAACTGGAAATGTGCCTGGAAGACAACTCAGTAGTACTTGTTCTACTTTAAAAAGTAATTAAACCCCAAGGATTTCCATAAATGTAGAAGTAGCAATAAGTGGGTGGTAACTTAAAAGTACTTTCTGGCATTAACTAAAATAAGACTTTGAATCTTGGAAAATCATCTGTTTTCTCTTAACTCTAACTGGAAAATAGTTCATGCTAGTCCTGCATGCCCTGAACACATCAGATGTCAGCTCTAAATGAAACGCGTTAGAAAGCAGCACTGATTCTGTGAAATTATCTCACTTAGAGCAGGGTTTCTCAAACTTGAGTCATTTGCTCCCAACTTTCAGAATTCCAGCCATATTTCTGTTCTAAGTATGTTCTTATTTTTATTTAACCAAGCTCACTTTTTTTACTCACATTTATTTTAAAAGAAAAACTTGATACCCCTGCTGTACGTGGAACACAAGTATCATTTAACATTGGTAGGTAATGGTAAAAACTAAATACAATGAAAATAATTATGCTATTACATTTTTAGAAATTGAAGCCAAAAAAAATCCCTAATGAAATAGAAATGATATGAATTCTATTTGATTTGCAAAGTATGCATACAATACCTGCAAAAAAAGGTCCTTCATTAATTAGAATGGTTCTGTTTGCACATAGTCAGATGTAAGGGAATATCCAGCTCACTGTGAATTTAAGGTGAAGATAAGGTTTTACGTCAACATTTTTTTAACCAGTCCAACTCCTATGTGGCTGTAGATTTTAATATAGGTCTATGGATGCTTTGAAAGTAGGGAAGGAGTGCAAAAAAGCTAGATCGCCAACTCCTATTCGCCCTAGACTGGCAATTGTACTGACCTTCACCACAGAAGAGGAAACTCTAAGAAACCCTATGAAGTTAAAACAACACCTTTTTCTCTCACTGTCCTTGGGTCTTGCCCTGAGGGTGAGCTCTGTTGCAGTGGAGAAAAGCCAGGCATTATCTAGCCAGCTATAGGACTTCTTGTTCAGCTTTGGATTGTGGAAGAAGATGATCTTCAGGATGTTCCAGGTGCTGTAGCAGAGTGCAAACAGCCATTTGTGCTACTGGGTCAGAGCTGCTTCTCTGCATGGTGCTGTCATCCAGGGAGACAAAGCAATGGAAGTCTACTGGGTGGTCTCAACAGGAAGCCTATGCAAATCTTCTTCCACCTATCATCAAAAATCATGTCATGTGCCACCACTGTTCTCATGACTTAGAGAAACACTCCCTTAGACCATAGTTTCCTCAAATATTATTTATACAATGAAATAACACCAATTGCCCCTCACCTTTTTCCCCAAAGAGTTCTGGTGTGCACTTAGTAGCTTTTAGAAGTGGTCCTCAAAGCACCTAATATTGTAGTATTGGTGATCTCCTGCCTTCCAGCTCTTGCTATTTTCTAATATCCGTTGTGTGTACTTGAGCCAGTGTGAAGCTGAATTTCTTGGAGAATAGTCTAATTAATAATTGAGTGACTGAACTAGGATAAGGCTAGTCTAATTAATAATTGAATGATCTGTTAGGCTAAGGCTGGAATAACTTACTGTCCTTAATTTGAAGGTTTAACTTGGGAGACTTCTAAGTAGCTAAAGAATGGATTGATCATTAGGTTGAATTGGCAAAGTACCATACGCAAGTTGCAGATTTCTCTTGCGTTTGTTTTTTCTGAATGTGAATTCTGAAGTCAAGGCAGTTGCTGCTGTAGTGGCTTGGCACTGCAAGCTGGAGCATCAACAGCAGCTGTTGCTGGGGCCTCTGCTGGAGTCTGAAGGAGATTCTGCTGTGCTGTTTCTTCTGTCTTGCCTGTTTGGCTTAATTTCCCAAGCGGACACAATGCTCTGAGCATCTTCTGGCTTGCCACCTGGAGGCTGTGTAACTCTGCAATGTTCCATTAGTGTCAAAAGAAAGTAGTATGTTCACTTGATCATTTGAGTCACTTGGCATCACCCCTACGCTCCATGTCCCCTATCCTTAAATCTCTTCTCCAGATCCATCCCAAGGAACCTGCATCATTTAGTAAACTGACTTCTTGCCAAATGTGCTTATTTTTGATTTAGTTAAGTTCAGCCAGCCATAGTATTCACTTGGGGAAGGGAAGGTGGAAAGAAGGAAGGGAAGCCTTCTGCTATTTCGGAAGTTCCATTTAAGGATATTTATTTAAAGTGGTATTATCATCTCACTGTACCCAGTTCCTTAGAGATTGCTCTAAGCAGGTCTGCTTGATGTTGAATCTATATCTCAGTTCATAGGGAAAGAAAATTAACTTTATAAAAGGCTTGTGTATGTGTGTGTGGTTTTTTAAATGCAGTTTTTTGTTTCGATGTTTAACATGGCAAATAAATTTTGAGGATTTTGAGTCTTCACAATGAGTTAGTGCATTTTGTATTGAGCCTATAAGGTAAGCTTTTACAAATATGGTTACTGGGATTGCCCGTTTTATTGCCAACTTTAGAGACCTTGTAACAGATATGGTCCTTAACCTTACTGTGCTCATGAGCTTGTAGCTATCCTTTATAGTTCCCAATGTAAATGTTTATGGCATCATTACTTATATACATTATATAGTGTTCAGTGAAAATCATCTTTATTACCTCAGGAAAATCTGTGAAGACATTTTCCATTAGCCAAACATTATAAGAACAATTTAAAAAGTTTATGTAAACCTTTTATAGTTAAATAGACAATTTTTTAAAGATTGAAAAAGTATCAATATACCCAAAGATGTATCTTATTTTTTAAAAATATAATTAAATACAAAAGTGTACAAAATACTTTAGACTTGCCTACTTACCTACACACACTTCTCGTTTTTTTCCTTTCCATTACAGTTGATAACTTGCTCTTTCAGCTTTGGAGCAGATGCTATTTGAATAGACTTCATATTTGGAAGTCCTTGTTCAAAAACACTTAAAAAAGAAAACACATTAACAGAAGACCTTTAACCCCCCATAAAAAACAAACTGAGAAACTTGACAGTAGCATAAGTAAAACACATAGTTGTCTAAAACTCTTTATGAATTTGTTTAGTCTTTAGATCTTCTTGGTAGCTTTTTGAAGGAAACATGATAATTCAAAGGTCATATATTTTTTCACTTTGAAGCAGGATAACCAAGCTTAGGGTGAATTTTTACTATGTGCTAAACTTCTGATTTGCAGCGTGGGAAATTTTTTATATATGAACCCCCTATTGTATTCACTTTTAGAAAATTCCTTTTATGGAAAAGAAGACAGGAGAAAAATCAACCTGTACAGCAAAAAAGCTATAAAAGCTAACATTTATTGAATACTAAAATATGGCAGTCACATTTTAAGTACTTTTTACTTGTTCTGATTTATTTAATTTAGTTAATTATTCCAGTAACCTTGTGAGATACAGGTAGTCTTTATATTCTCATTTTATAAAAGAGGACACTGAGGTACAGAGAGGTTAAATGACTTACCCAGTGTTATGTAGGTAACAGCACAGCGGGTATTCAAACCCAGGCAATTCGACTTTACAATCTACTATGCTGAATTGTCACTTAAAGAAAATAGTTGTATAATTATTTAAATTTTGATTTCAATCATTGTACATATGACATTCTTCCATTGGATAAGAATTTGATCTCTGTTATTTTTAAGATCTCCGCTAAAGTGGTGAAGAGTGTGTGCTCATTACTGATCCTTCTCTCCTTTTACTCTACCTGTAGAATCCTCTGCAATAATTCTAACTGCTTGGAGGAGAAAAGAATGGCACGTGAAAAACAGTGTGACATGGATTTTAGCTGCTTAGTTAATTGCTTTACATCCCACTGAGGGCTTAAAGCTTGGCAATAGTGACATGCATTTCCTTGTGTAAAATTCTTTTTATTTTTGGGAATCTAAAATTTCCTATAATGAACTGTATTAATTTACTTATACTCCGAACATTCTCTTTTTCCCTAGCATGTTTCGCCAAGGGATGCATGACTTGAAAGTCTGGCCTAATGTAGAAGCAGATGGATCAGAACCCACAAAAACTCCTGGCAGAACAAGCAGCACTCTCTCAGAAGATCAGATGAGCCGCCTTGCCAAGGTATAAAAAAGATGTTTGGAACAGGTGGAAAGCTTTGAATGATGTCCATTGTAGTATACCATGACATTATGAATTCTGTCAGATTTTTTTAAAATTTAAATTTAACTTTTGCATAACAGTTTTATTGGATATAATTCATACCATAAAATTCACCCTTGGAAAGTGTACAGTCTAATTGGTTTAGTAAATTCACAGAGTTGTGTAATATCACCACTATATAATTTTAGAACATTGTCATCACCCTCAAATGAAACCATGTACCCATTAGCAGGCCCTCCCCATTCCCTCCTCTGCCCAGTTCCTGGCAACTACTAATCTACTTTCTATCTCTATGGACTTGCATATTCTGGACATTTCATATAAATGGAAGCATATAATATATGGCCTTTTGTGTCTGAAAATCTGCCAGATTTGAAAATGTGAAGGACTTGCAGATATTTTCAAGATGATCACCTACTTTTACTGGTGACATAGCGTGAAAGTTCAAATATTACATGCTAGAGATTCTTATGTTTGGAAGTGAAGATTCCTTCTACAATTAACTAGTCTAAATTTCTTTCACCCTCCCTTTTATAAGCAGACTGAGTTATTATTTTTTCTTTCACAATTATTTTAATCATGCGTTTTCACTTAGAAATACAAAAACTAAGCTCAGTTCTGTACTTAAATTACAGCACTGTCACTTATTTTGTGAATCTCCTTCCGCATAGCATTGAGTTAGATACTGTTTAAAGATCCTTTTATAATTCTTTTGTTAAGAGATTTTCTTTTAATTCTTACATGTATTTTTCCTTTCCAATCTTATTAGTGTGGAGGATTCCTTTTGTGTCTGGAGAAAGTTTTGATGCCAAGCATTTAACAACTTGTTTCCTTTACCTACATATGGAAGAAATCCTAATTATAAATAATAAGTGCTTGCATTGGCTAGATTTTGTGCTGCAACATAAAATTTTTGTCAAGTCCATTCTTTCTTTTTGTATTACTCTTTTAAGGAAAAATGGTGTCTTAGGTAGCTAATAAGCATATTAACCAATATATTAATAAATAAATAAAATTTAATATTCAGTTGATCTACTCATTCTGGGATTTCATTTGCATTCTTACATAGGATGTAGGAAAGTTCTTGAGCTTTTCATATGTCTGCCTTCTCTTTAAGAGTTTATCTTTTTAAACTACTCTCTGTGACTTTTATAAACCTTGAATAGTTAATAGAAATTTTATTAGAATCAGCTCATTTATAGCCTGTGAGTCACTATAATATGAAAAAGGTTAAATGTCAACTGCAAGTGGAGTGTAGCATATATTGAAGAAGCAAAAGCTTTTAAATTGTCTTTTAAGAGCAGCATATTGTAGATGAAATTCTAAATTTGAAGAGGAATGGACAGAACCAAGAGATATAAAGCTGCATGGTTGCATAATTTATCTATTTTGTTTATCTATTAAATTAATTAGGCTTCTGTTCACATGTTTCTAATTTTTTACCCTAATTATTTTTGATGGAAGATTTAAAAATAATTTTATAACAACTATGATATTTTTCAGATATCAGTTCATGTAGTATAATTATTGGAACTTGTTCGACTTGGACTTCAGCTTTTTAATGTATCACAATGTTATGGTATATATTTCTCATTTTAATCTTTTGAATTTTATAGTAGAAAAAAGACATGACTTGATAATGATCAACATCTTTATGATTGAAACAGTAACCCCTTAAGAGTTGTATGGGTTCATATTTATTCATTTAAATATCCACGTACATTAGCAACTCTAGAAATGATGACTAAGCATATGCAGAACTAAATGAGGTATTGGAAAGAAGCCTTCTTAATGTTTTTGTTAATTGGTAACAATCATCATCAACAGTCTAAATTCCTCATAAAAGAGTATGGCAAGTGAGTCCTACTTTTTTAAGAGATAGTTATTAAAATTTATATGCTGTCTGCATTGCTCAGAATGGTTAGCAGTTTTCAGATGTCTTGTAAATCTTTAAAATGGGAATAAAAATTAATGAGAATAAGCATCTACCGTTCTTCTGAGGGTAATTAGAGCCAAGCTCTTTTACACATTCTTTTACCCCTAACAGAATTGTACCTTTAACTTTTGAATGTAGTGTATACGTCAGAGCTTGCTATGCCGTGACAGCTTGCGTTAGTATTAATTTATGTTCCCCAAAGACTGAATAGAAACCATAGAAACCAGGAATTACTTTTTTTAAGGGGAAAAATGTATCCTGTTCATAGTATTGTTAAGGAATTGCTCCCTCTTTGAAGGAAGCTCTTTCTGTTTCTTGGCACTTTGGACTAATGCTATATTCCATTCTCGATACAGCATTTGGCTATGCTCTTTGAGGTTTCAATACTGTTATATCTCTGCTGCTATTGAGGAAAAATGTGTTTAAAAATGATGTCCTGGGTTTGAAAAAATTGGAAGCTTGGGCACTTGGAAGCACTTTACAGTGGGAAGAGCACTGTACAGTTATTCAGAGTTTTGACCATCCTTCTAACTTGGGGAAATTAATTTTGAGCCTGTAAAATCAGAAGTTTAGAATGGATGATTTCTAAGTTCTCGTGCAGCTCTTCATATTCTGATTCTGAAAGTACTGACATAGCAAGTAATTGAGATTATTTATCTACCTGGATTTTACAGTTATCACCTTAGTAGAGAATAAAGTTGTGATTATCAATTTGCAATTGTGAATGTGTTGTGTTCATGTCATTTCATTTTTTCTGCAATGTGTGTGCCTAAAGTAAAGCATTATACAGGGCTTGCCTAATGTGAATAATGGGGCTGTGCTCTTAGATTTTTGTTGTTGTTTGACTAGTACTTGCTTCTTAAGTGTTTAAGACAGACTTTCTGAAAAACAACTCTTTCCTCACCCAAAGCATGATCCATTTGCCTTGCTTTATACCAGAGAAAATATACTTTGATACTTACATTCTTAACTTAAAATTACACTTAAATTACTTTACAATTTTAAGAACAAAATAGTGCCTGCATTCTCACGTGCACATGACTAGTGTGTGCTTGCTTACTCACACGTATGCACTCTCTTTTTCTCTCTCATTTTTCTGGTTACACATTATAAAAAGTTCAGTTAGATTGTCACCCTCTCAAAACATTTTGAAAATGTCTTAGGTGTAATAAACTTTTAGAAACTGGGACAAAATTTGTATGCTCCCTATTTCCATTTTCATACAAAAGGTACAGAAATTGTAGATGTAATGCTCGTATTTCTCACACTACCATTTTAAGAAAAGAAATTAGTATTCAGATAGGAGAGGTTCAGTGGTTAGAACTGAATGGTTTATTTCTTGTTGCCCTTCGAGTTTTTAAGCCAGTGAATTTATTATGATAGTTTCTAATTGTTGAGAAGATAGTTGGCTTAAGAGTAAAAAGTTGTACATAAATTTTAGTACAATAGCAAAGCATGGTTACTATGCATTGTAGCCCTAAGCCTAAATAAATAGCATAGTGACAGTTTGCAAACTGCAATGTAAGACAGTTGATGCAGTTATAGAACTGCTTCCATCTTGGTTGCCTAGGGATACTGAAACCAGAGGACTGTGAAATGAAGATTAACTCTTTGAACTGTGAAAAGATGATGTTAGATAATTATTAAACGAAGAACCTCAGCTCCAAGCTGTACTTAATACTCTTATTCTGATTTATGGCTCAACTATGAAAGTTGAATTCTAACTACAATATGAATAACTGAAGTTTAAAAACCTGCTAAGTTTGACAATTTTTGAAGGCCAAATCCTTCAGAATGAACTTTAGTAGAATTAAACTAATGATTTTATATCATTTTGTGAACATGCATAGTTTTCCTTTGAGGCAAAATAAGTATGAGAAAAGGAAACAACTGTTTTTCTCAGTTCAGGTCTTATTTTTTATAACTTGGATTTCTTAGACTTCTAATAGGGAACAGGAAGAAATGGAATGCATTAAAATATACTATTTCCTACCCCACATCTTCCTTATTCTCTCATCTTTCCTATCTCTAAATTTCTCTAGTTAATAAAGTGTCTTTCCATTTGAATTGATTTGTGAAAATAATAAGAGACCAAACTTCTGGGGCATTTATTAAACTTTCATTGTCCATGACCCAGCCTTTTAATGGTTTGTGGGCCTTCCTTGAGCAAATTTATCCATTGTTCCCATCTGCTCTGTCTTTCAGCTTGTCATATAATAGGAGTTTTATGACTAGAATACATATCCACCTGGGGTTTTGGATGTGACTACCAAGCTTTAGTGTTTGATTTATATTTGAATCCATGTCTTTAGACATGAAAGGTTAGTGCAAAAGCATGCTTCTCCACTGTCTCCGTTTCATTTTAGCAGCTCTGCTTGATGCCTTTGGAATGTGCTTTAGTTTCTGTCAATTTGATTAAGAGGAGGCAAAGAGAAAGTAATGACTAGATGAAAAATGCTTTGTGGTCTGTGTGACACAGATAGGTTTGGGAACGTTGAGTAGAGTGTACAGGTGAGCACTGCTGCAGTGGAAATGTGGTGGTGTGGTGGCGTTTCAGACTGAACCTCAGAGTGCCTGTGTGGGTTCACTGTGGGTCCAGCATCCAGACTTCAGGTTTATTGCAATAGGAATTGGATTTTTTAGTTTGTCTTGAAATAATTAGTTTCTTGAGATTAGATTCATGCCAACCACTTCAAAGAGTTATTTATAATCTAGAGCTGCAATGCCTACTACGATAGCCACAAATTACATTTAAATTTAGGCTAATTATGCTGGGTGCAGTGGCTCACACCTGTAATTCCAGCACTTTTGGAGGCCAAGGTAGGAGGATTGTTTTAGGCCAGGAGTTCAAGCCCAGGCTGAGCAAGAGCGAGACCCGTTTCTACAAAAAAAGAAAAAAGAAAAGAAAAAGAAAAATTAGCTGGGCATGGTCGTGCACGCCTGTAGTCCCAGATACTTGGGAGATTAAGCCAGAAGCATCACTTGAGCCTGGGAGTTGGAGGTTGCAGTGAGCTGTGATCATGCC